AGTACTATCCTGGTTTAAAGCTATTTGACAGATCACTGGCATAGAACAGTTATGGATGGCCAGGCATCTTCTTTGCTACCTATTTCATCCGGTGTGCCCCAGAGGTCTATCCTGGGACCCATGCTGTTTATTGCGTTCGAGCATAGGGAGAACGCAGCCTAATTTTGTATTGGTGTCCACATGTTGGGCTTCCTGCATAATACAGGCGAAATCAATTGAGGTTGCAGTGGTCTTAGCAAATTCAGCCGCCCCGCTTGATTTTTGCAGGGGCGTGTCATGGCCAGTAAACTGGTACCGTTTAATGCTAAGACATGTGATAAGACATATGGCGAACATGTGAGTACCAGTATGTGAGCTGGCCATGTGAGGTCGTCTTTCTGCTGGATTTTTCTTTGACTTCTTTCCATTCAGTCGCCGTACGCTTCCCTATTATGTGCTCTCAGCATTAGATTTTGGTGAATTTAAACGCTTCGACGGTAACATTTATCGAAATCTGAGAGAATTGTCCTTGTTTATTAACACGACTTGACTTTGAGATGTTAACCGTGGGAACACCTACATTTTGATCGCATTTGTTGATTAGTTCCAGTGGCGACAGATAGCTCAGTCTTTATCTGGTCGAAATTTTATTGTTTGGAATCGGTGAAAAAGTACTCTGAAGGCAAGATCCAAAAGTCTGCTTTGTTCATCAGGAGAAATACTTGAGTTAGGCGCACGGAGTTTGTTTACGATAAATGAGTATATGATTGCAAACGCTAGCTTAAATTTGTGCTTCCAGCTTAGAGTAATGTTGTACTTAATTTAATATTCTATGAAACTTGTGAGTCTACAGAAACTGGCAGCGTCACGCAACGTGTCAACAAATCGTGACCTCTTCACTAGCATAGACTTTGACACTATGCATATCTGACTTTAAAACCTTGGTTGCTGCTGAAAAATGTTGATTTTAGCAATAGACAAAGGTTGAGAGTCAGCTAGTGAAATCATTTATTTAAGGTATATATATTAAAATGAGGGCGTCGAACGCACTCTCATAATCTCTGATTACTACTAGTAATATATATAAAGTACCCCAAGTGTAACAGATGCTAGGACTACTGTCCAACTCTATGTGGATGATATGAAGTGTTATCGAGTTATTGATAATGGTTCTGATGCAGTTCAACTACAAAGAGACTTATTAAGTTTAAATGGTTGGTTGTCTGAACATTTCATGAAATTTAACGCTAATAAGTGTAAGCACCTTGTCATGACAAAGAAAAAAATTATGCACACATCATATAATCTGAGTGGGTCGCAGGTTGCAGTCATTTCAATTGAGAAAGATCTTGGTGTTCATGTTTCTTCAAATTTATCATGGATGATCACATTGACTTAATTATAAGTAAAGCAAATAAGATGTTGGGTATTATCTACAGAATGTGCACCACTGATTGTGACCAAAAACTTTGTTGATTCTATATAAATCATTGGTATGACCGCAGTTGGAGTACGCTTCTCAAGTCTGGTCTCCCTTCACTAAAGAAAAAATCAAGGCCCTTGAGCGTGTTCAAAGACGTGCCACCAAATTTATCTTGAAATGTGATTTAACTTATCCAGAGTGTTTAGGTAAATTAGGTCTTTTGCCTCTCGAGTTTAGAAGGGAGGTTTTAGATTTATGTTTCATTTTTAAATGTCTTAAAGGGCACATTGATTTTGACATCCTATCGTATGTTAACTTCAAATCCTATAAGTACGATATGAGAAATACAGAAGCCATACTTGCCAAGGGTTGGTTTAGAACCAATGTCTTTAAATTGTCATTTTTTAATTGCATTGTGGATTTATGGAACAGCCTGCCTGTAGCTATTAGGACAATTGATCAATTGTCATTGTTTAGTAAGAAATTGAATCAGTTTTACATTAGTGAATTTAACTTAAATAAGGATAAATTTTTATAGTTTTCTGATCACTTATTGTTGTTGCAATTATTGCCTGTATTGGTATTCTATGTAATAACATTTTATATCTTATCTCAGGCAGTTTATTTAAAATAAGGAATTTAGAATTCTGTATAAACTGGCCTAATTACTCAGATATCTCCTTTTTATACTTGTAAATATATTTAATTCTTTATTTTATTTTATTTTGATTATCCGTGTAATTGAATTCGAGTAATTAAATAAATGAATAAATAAATAAATATCAAAGAAGCAGCCAGGCAAAGTTCTGTTCATAGCCAGTAAATTTACCCTGTGCCTGGTCCCTAATGAAACCCCTGACAATTGTCTATTTCTGTATGTTAATATTACAAATACATTTTTTTTATAAAAAGAAGTTTCAAACTTTTTCAGATCAGCATTGTAATATACAGTACATGTACAGTATATGTATGGTTCTCATTATCCAGGGGTTTCATTAAGAACCAGGCACTGGGCAAATTGACTGGCTGTGAGGTTGATTTTGCCCACCCAGTTTGACCATCTAGGGGAATGTTTTTCTTGTAAAGAAGTTCAGATAAATAGTCTTAATTGCCTGCCTGTGAAAACAAGTTATCCTCCTGCTGAAAACGGTAATGAAACCCCTGGTTATCTGTTGAATGTTTTATTCTAGGGTGAACATGTGTGGTTGGATAACACTAATGGAGGGGAGTTTGATGTTCCCATTGGAGCGCTGGTCAAGATGGCAGACTCAGGCCAAATTCTAGTTGTTGACGATGAGGGAAAGGTACATTACTCTGCATTACATTAATAGAAAAAAACTATTGTAAACTTCCAAAAAAAGCCCTGAACTAATGGTTTATTTTGACAAAATTGTGAGATTTTTCATGAATTGTGCAATTGGATGTAATTTGAGGTCTAATGATTGCTCGCAATCGCACCATCGCGTAATATCAGAAGGTCTGTCCACAATTACACTGTACTCTGTACTGAGGTTACTCAAGGTGCATCCTTACAACACCTGACTCCAAAATCTTTCAGCACCAATAAATGAATAAATGGAAATTTACCATATCTTGCCCCTGATTTCCACTTTCCATTCACTACATTTTATCGTAACACTGCTGCATTCAAATTGTGAAGTGGAGAAATAAAAAAATAAAAAATGCAAAATACAATACTGTACCATAAACAGAAATGATCAGTAACAATAATTTGATCTTTTTGCATCTAAAGGAACACTGGATTCAGTCCTATCTGGCCAACAAACTTAAAATAATGCATCCAACAAGTGTCAAAGGAGTTGATGACATGGTATGTACAGTAACTTTGCACAGAAAAATTCTACAAAACCCACTCGGGAAAGCTGCTAGCAAAGTATAATATTATCACAGTTCTGTAGAATGAAACAGTCAATCTCTTATATTATAATATGTCTGTACAGTTACCCCCTATATTGCAGTTAGCTTATAATTAAAAACTACTAGCAGGGAATTATTTTGTACAAACCAATTGACAATGGGAGCATTGGAATGCAGCATGTTGTTGGGGATTGGTTCATTTTAGTCATTTTAGTCTTCTCGTCCAGCTGTTGTGTGAGTTAATATCTACTACTTCAATCAGTAGTACTTGTATTAAATAAATTGATTTCTCCTATTTATAACAATACTCACATATCAGAAGGAGTCAATATCAGGCTAGTATATACTGGTATGGGTATAATTACATATCCCTAAACCTGGAAGCCATATTGGATTGAGCACTGCTGCTCCAAATATTGTCATTTTTAAGTATAACTCTAGTCTGGACAGTGTATTCTTGGTGAATTAAATAAATGTTTGGTTCAAACACAGTGGTATAACCTGCATGTAAGTTTCCAGACCAGAAAAGCATATGGCAAATAATTGAAAATATCCATACATGTACCTCCCCCATGGAAGGAATTTTTTTTATAAGAACTCCCCCCCTCCCCCCACCCCTTTGGAAATTCCAATTAAGCTTCATACGTTACACCTGGAGCTTTTTGGCAAAAACGCATTTCTGGACATTTTGGACATTTTTAGCCTGGATATGAGCTAAATTAGCTCCAAGCTACTTAAAAAGGCATTTGCAACAAGACAACTGGCATGCCTTTCTCTCCACTAGCGCTGTGTTGTATGACACTTTCGCTCAGGCATGTGCAGAAATCAAAATTTTGAGGTTTTTGGACAAGAAAGTGACCTGCGTCTTTGGGCTTGTCTTTTTTTTTCCGCCTTTCCTTTTTCTCCTTTTCTTATCTTTTTGCTGCAGTTGTTGAACTTCTACTGGGCTTGCTTCCAGTTGAAGAATTGCTGAGAAAGTATCTTTGATCGTACAGGAAATTCTTACCACGGAGTAGCCAAGTGTAGTTGAGGGAAATTCTACTTGGACTTTTTCACTCCATTTTTAAGCATTTTTATGCATATTTCAGGCTCAGTTGATCCAATCACTCTGATCTGGGTATTGTTGGAAAGGTCTTTTCCTTCTGCAGAACTTGAGTATAAGTGATACCAATTTTGGTCAAAGGTTGTGACATCAGAAGTGAAACAAAGGCCAACGCTTATTATTAGTGGTCACCCGTGGTACAGGCCTCAATGGGTTAAATTGTCTGGTCTCACAGAACACCCCAACCCTGGGAAATTCCAATCCCTTCTGTGAGGGGCTTATGGATATTTTCTGGAACTGCACAATGCATGTATCTTCATTTTCTTAAAGAAAAAGTCACGTGCAAATTGAATGATCTAATTGATAATTTTTTAATGTACAATTTCTTTTTCATTTGTATCAACTATAGATTCAACTTGGAGACCTAAATGAAGCAGGAATCCTACACAATCTTTTCATAAGATACTACAATCATCAGATTTATGTAAGTCTGATTGCAGTTTTGTTAGTTTTCAGTGCCAGGTAAATCAAGGTATTCATTTATACCTGATTCATGTATGGACCTCTACCATGTAGGTGAAGACAACTTCTCATGTGTACACAGTGTGTTTGTACCCCTAACCTCTCAGGCCTCAAAATTCTCAATTTTTTTACTCAAGGTTCAACAATTAGAATGTCATCACTTAAAGGCTACATTGTAGATGACTGTATAGTAGTGACTAAACATTTTGTAGTGTAAGTTAACAGGGCATACATGAGGCCCATGCATAACTCCTGTTAATTAGCTTTATGACTGTTTATCTTGAAATCTTGGAAGCCTCTAAGACGAGCCACAAAGTCCTGTTTTTCAGTGTTTAAGTTGTCATAGAGCCCAAGGTCATTAATTATCTTAGATTTTCAAACAATGGGATTATGGTCTGAGCATCTTGCTTTGGTAAATCTCAGATTTAACCATGCACCTCCCTTTGTGCATTAACACATTCAATACTATTGTATATCCACGTGTATAGCACTTATAAATAGAGGGCTGCATGCATGTATTATGCATCGACCATCACTTGTTTCCACATGACATGGAGTGATTATGGGACAGGAGATGTTTTTCAGGCTATACACATGTACTGCACTCTCAGTGGTAACAGGTCATTTCACCCTGGGTCCGTTTCGCCCCAACTCAAAGTCGTTTTGCCCCAACTCAAAGTTGGTTTGTCCCAACTCAAAGTCAATTTGCCTAAAGTTTTATTTATGCAAATTATGGAGTAGTTGGTTCCCAAATATGTTCAGTTTCTCTATTTCCTTCCTTGATACACCTGTATACCTGTTGAGGTGGTAACTGGTCATTTCGCTAATGCATCACTGGTTCGCCAACGACCTGTTCGCCAACGTATGAAGTCGATTTGCCAATGTCCTGGATCAGTTCATATATGTCAGTTTGCCAACGTCCACAATACTTTTTGGATAAGGTCTGAAATGTATTTAAAAATCACCAGAGAAATGAAATGTCACCTTAATATAAGATGACATGTGTGTTTATAGGTTGTTAGTGTCATTTGAAATTGTTCTTTTCACTCTCCCGTATCTCTCTTTCCTCACGCCATGTTGATGATGCGCTGGTTGATTGATGGCCAATCATAGTTGTAAAACTTAGAAAACCATCAGCGACTTTTTACACTGTAGAGTTTGAACCATCTGTAAAACCTTTTTGTTAAACATTTGCCAAGAATGATTTGGACCAAATATGTTTGTTTGTTGTTGCACTCACGTAGAACAAAGTCAAACAACTTTGATTGATTGATGGCCAATTGTATTTGAATACTTATAAATTTTACCTGTAGCATATGAAACTCCTTTTAAACCTTTCTATTAAACATTTGCTTAGTTAAAGAGCCATTGAGTCTAAATTTATTTGTTTGATTACGGGCATAGAAGTGTTGGAAGTGTAGGAAGGTGTGAATTTTTCCCTTTGTTTTTCAAGGCAACAAATTAGTTTGCTTTAACAAAAGAAGTAAACAACATTAGCATTAACCAATCAAATGATCAGAATTTAGATCCTGCTCGGATAAGGGTGTACCTTTATATATCCAACACCATGTCAGCCTGATGCAATGTTTTGTTCGAGTTAACCATTAATAGCTTTCTAAATCGTATGAAAAAAATTCGGCCAAACTACATTATGTAACTTTTGGTGGGGCAAATCGACTTTGAGTTAGGGCAAAACGACTTTGAGTTGGGGTGAATCGACTTTGAGTTGGGGCGAAATGACTTTGAGTTGGGGCAAAACGACTTTGAGTTGGGGTGAAACGACTTTGAGTTGGGGTGAAACGACTTTGAGTTGGGGTGAAACCACTTTGAGTTGGGGTGAAACCACTTTGAGTTGGGGTGAAACCACTTTGAGTTGGGGTGAATCGACTTTGAGTTGGGGCAAAACGACTTTGAGTTGGGGCAAAATGACTTTGAGTTGGGGTGAAACAACTTTGAGTTGGGGTGAAACGACTTTGAGTTGGGGTGAACTGACTTTGAGTTGGGGTGAAACGACTTTGAGTTGGGGTGAAACGACTTTGAGTTGGGGTGAAACAACTTTGAGTTGGGGTGAAACAACTTTGAGTTGGGGCAAAACGACTTTGAGTTGGGGTGAATCGACTTTGAATTAGGGCGAAACGACTTTGAGTTGGGGCAAAATGACTTTGAGTTGGGGTGAAACGACTTTGAGTTGGGGTGAACTGACTTTGAGTTGGGGTGAAACGACTTTGAGTTGGGGTGAAACGACTTTGAGTTGGGGTGAAACAACTTTGAGTTAGGGCGAAATGACTTTGAGTTGGGGCAAAATGGACTTGGGGTGAAACAACCGTAATTTCACTCAGTTTATTCACACACAGAACGTAATAATCTTCTTGGTTTTTACAGACCTTCACAGGCTCAATTTTAGTGGCTGTTAATCCGTACCAGCTTTACCCCATCTATGATGCTGATCATGTGAAGAAGTACAAGAATCGAAAGTTGGGTGATTTACCTCCTCACATCTTTGCCGTAGCAGACAATGCATATTCTCACATGAAAAGGGAAGCTCATGATCAATGTGTTATCATCAGGTATGCATTATAGTATGCACTACAATATTAACTGTTACAGGTGTTTATTATCCAACTGCAGTGAATATTGCCAAAATATGAAATGAAACAAGTATAAGTAACATTGTTACACAGAGATATTGTATAGTTAGTTATTTGTACAGTAATCGTGTAGAAAACCTGTTTGACAGGTCAGTGCGCTTGCGAAACTGTCATACTCTCCCTCTTTCACTGACAGCAGTTGGATAATAAATCTCTTATACACGTAAGTTGTTTTGATATGTAGTATCGCTGTATATTTTTTGATTGTTTACTACGGCACAACAACATATACAGCGATACTACATGTACACACCAAAATATCTAATAAGAGATAATTATATTTAATTAAATTGAATGTAATGTATTGTAAATGCCAATCTTTACATAACATAAATATTCTCTTACAGTCCATGGTTTGAACTTGAATCAGACCTCAACAGCTGGGAATTATTAGGATTTATTTTAACACTCTTTCTGTCTAGAAGTATATAGTCAAACTGAAAGAAACAAATTACAATTACTTTGAGGCTCTGTGCCATAATTGTCGTAATTGACCTTGAACTAATACAAACTGAAAATATGTTATAATTTTACTTACAATTCTTGTAATCCTTTCCCATCTGTAAACCTTGCGTTTAAGTTATGATTCTCTCTGTACCAACTTAACGTCTCTTAACGAAATAGCGTTCCCTCTGCGAGATTCGAACCGCGTGATCCCTTTTATAGAGGTATGTGTCCCTAGGGACCTTACATAATCCCGCAAGGACTTATATAACTTTGTGTTCGTGCAAAACAGTCCAATTATGCCTGCTGAATAAAGTAGTTACAATTGTACTACATGTGTCAATACATAACTTGTCAGTAAAGTTATCATTCAGTCGAACAATAACAAACACACTGTAACATGCTACTGTACATTCTTACATGCATCACCTTAAGCAATCAGCTCTAACAAAACAAAATTAATGTTTAACTCGCAATTTCTGATTTCTCTTTACCTGCAGTATTAATGTTAATTCCATAAACTGCTACATTTGTATGCGGAATTTAACTCTAATCACTAGCTGGCCCCACCCTTGGGTGAGGCCTGAAGATTTCGTGACTCACTATTTTTATCGTATCAAGGCAGTTGTTTCATAACATGTAATGTACTCTTGTAAAATGCGTTTTGTATGTGCATCTATTTTTGATGCATAATTTAATAAAACTAATTATGCAGAAATAAATTATCATCAGAAAATGACTAACTGGCTACCGACAGTTTCTTATGAAACAGAAAATAGATTTCCAGATCGAAAAAAATACTACATGCACTCATATTGTGCATGTAAATTGTTTATTTATAAATATTAAACAAAACTTGCCACAGCATGTTATAAATGACTGTTTCATTATAATTATTATAGTGGTGAGAGTGGAGCTGGCAAAACAGAGTCAACTAAACTCATTCTTCAGTTCCTTGCTGCTGTGAGTGGACAGCATTCCTGGATTGAGCAGCAGATTCTAGAAGCCAATCCTGTTCTGGAAGGTAGGTAAAGTCTGTGTACAAGCCAAGTGGCCCATCAGGCCGGTGCTTATCCTGGTTTCTGTAGCATGAAGTGCCTAGGAGTATTTCTACTCCTCCGTGGATGGGATGCTAGTCCATTGTAGGGTTACCCCCCAGTATTAAGTTTACTGGTACTTATTTATACACCTGGGTGGACACTAGGCACTGTGAGAGGAAAGTGTCTTGCCCAAGAACGCAACACAATGTCCCCAGCCAGGGCTCAAACCCAGACCACTTGATCCAAAGACGAGCGCACTACAACCATGAGGCCACGGTACGATGCCTCCCACATTCTGAAAGGTACAATTTACAAATATCCTTGCACATACAATAATTATTAATAATATCTGAATCCATTGCTTTTGTGCCACAGAAGAACGATGATGATCAATCACTCTGCATGTTACTTCTAGATTGAATTGTCCAGTTCATGGTTGTGACAGTCACATTCATATGGTTTAATTGAACAAAACCTGTCATCATTTTCTTATAAAAATATCACCAGATTTCAACAGTGTTTCTCTGTTTACAGTAACGGGATAAAAACTGCAGTTGAACCTCTGCAAACAGATTTCTTCCTTAGCAGTGTATATAATTATATATGATTTATACATGTATAGTCCCAACCAAGTACTAACTCTACATTTTTTTAATGTGAGTGGACAGTTTCTTGTTTTCTTGAGATCAAGAGCACAGGTGTGTGCTTAAGATGGCTAAGCGATGAGTTAAATCATTGTGTCATACTCACTCAAAGAATTACTGTCAAACAAAATGCACAAATCAATGAGCATACAAAAGCTCTAATCATCTTACCACTTGTCAATGTGACCAGAAGTGGTCACTTGCATTTCATAACTAGCTAGGCGTCTTCATTACAACTACAGTACAGTATGTGTACTGTAAGTATTTTTCTACTTTATTTTAATGTCACAACATTTGTGTCATGGCCCTAACTTTTGGGTGCAATTAACTTGAGTCATACAGTGTTTGTGTAGTCCCTTGCAACTGAAATACACCCACACTGTATTTTGTTTGTTTTTGACTGTTCATCTTAGGAATGTTTCTTTTTCCTTGTTTACCTTTTTTAGCTTTTGGAAATGCCAAGACAGTACGGAATGATAACTCCAGTAGGTTTGGTAAATATATTGATGTCCATTTCAACAAGACTGGCTCAATTGAAGGTGCTAAGATTGATCAGTACTTGTTAGAGAAATCCAGACTTGTCTATCAAGTGAGTCACTAATAAATTTAATACAGCCAAGTTCTTATTAATTTATCACAAACTTAGATCTGATAGATTATAACTTGAGTGAACAATAGTGAACTCCTTGTGCAGTTGTACATGTAAATTTGTATTTACTTGACTAGACACATGTCCAGCTTGGCTCCAATCTGAGTTATTAAAATCAAGTAACTGTGTGTGTTTCAATTACGTGAATTAATTGATAACATTTTGTACAGTATCGCTTTTGACACAGGGTAAAAAAATACCTTATAGTAAGTGTTATGTACTTAATACACTCTACATGTTAGAGCTTACTATGTAAAGACACAGGTGACTGTCACAGCTAAATAAATGAATTTTATTAATCTCACTGAGCTGTCTCTGCATGTGAACACTGGGCTGCCACAGGTCTGAAATGACCTGTGGACTTCTTTGGAAAAGTCCCCTCCCCTATGTCTTCACCTTCAATTGTTTTTATCACCTTTGCCCTTGCTCCCTGATTATTAAACCAAGCAACATCTGAAATGATCAAAATACAATACATTACTACCATATGTTATCATGGCGTGTGTTGGAAAATATTTCAACTCTGAAAAAAAGCCAAAC